ACGTAATCCCAAGGGTTCACATACTTTTTCTTGCAACTGTATATATATATATATATATATATATATATATATATATAGTATGTTAAAATGCGTTTTTTATATATTGCAAAATATATGAAAAATATTTTTTAAAATATATATTTTTTAAATATATTCTTCATATTTTTTCACATATAAAAAAGTAATTCTAACATATATTTTTACATATATTTGTAAATGCATTCCAAAAATGTAGATTAAGTGTAAAGTGTGTGTATATGTATATATATATATATATATATATTTATATGTAGAGATGTGCTGGTTGCTTTAAATCTTAAACAGCAGTTGCAAAGCATTTTTTTTCTTTTCTCTCTTTGTGAGTGACAGACAGGAAAAGCAGGATTGTGCTCTAATTGGTTGTTGCTACAGCTGAAAAGGATCCACCCATAGCAGCACTGTTGCAGCTGAACTTATGATTGGCTGTGGAGGAAAGGAGGGAGGAAAAAGGAAGAAGAAGCACATGCGGGGAAGGAGACATTTTCAGGGGACCGCATGGAGCAAGGGCTCCTGGTGTAGTCACAGAGTCTCACTCTCTGTACTGCTAGAGCCCATGGGCTGGGCTGGGAGTGTGTAGCATAGGAATTGTTGCAGGAGGACAGTTTGCAAATCAAAGATTGTCCTGCCTGACACTCAGGATTACAGCCACCCATGTGCATGTGTCTCTCAAAGTCTGGAGCTGCTGAAAGAGAGAGGATTTCTAATACTGTCTAATGCTATCTAGAGGACAATCCAGAAACAGTGAGTACTCTCTGTGATGAAAGGGGATTTTGATATTGCTGCACTTGCTGTTCATCTCTGGAGAATGGTCATGAGAAAGCTTGCTCTCTAATTCTCAGAGTGACACAGATCTTGGAAAGCCCAAGCTGCTCAGAATTAGCTATTCCTGCTGCTGATCGATGAGAGAACTCTGTCTCTGTATATTACTGGTTTGTCTCCTCAAGACTTGTACTGTGGCTGAAGAGTGTGTTTTAGTTCCAAATCCCCACAGAAGCTTTCTGCTCTGAATATACTGAGCAAGTGTCAGTATATCAGGATTTCCCCTGTATGGTAAAGATTGTTGAAGTGTTGTTTTTTCTATTGCAATGTTCACTGGAAGATTCTGCTTAAAGGAGACTGTGCTATCTTGCTACCCCTGGATTACAAATACTCTCCCATGCAGAGATGAGCGCTCTTCCATTGATTAAAGGGCCCCAACGTGAGAGACTTTAAGTTTCATCCCACTGGCCAGTGGTTAGGTAGGACATTTCTGCTCTAGATAGTATTGCTATAGCAAATGTCAATAAGCTGCTAAATCTCATTAATTAATAGCAATTGTTTCATGTGTCAATGTCACTCTCACATGTCACCCTAGTCAGTGGGATACTAGTCAGTTTTTGGAGAATTTGGCGAGTGAATTGTGACTTCTTACTAACTGTGTTATGCAAAGTGGAATCTGTGTTTTTTGTACATTACCTGTGTTAAATCAGCTAGTTCTTTTTCAGGGTTTGTCTTCTTCAATAAAACCCATAAAAAATATTCTCAGAGTGCCGAAGTGTTCTGGTTATAATCGGAGGTGTCACCAGATTCAGGTGGGAGCTAAACCTATATATATAGCCAAGCATCACCCAAGGGTGTACTATATATATATATATATATATATATATATATATATATATAAGCATATTGAAATATATTTTGAAATATATTGAATACAGCCAAAAGTGTAGTATTTTAAATATATGTCAATATATTTGGGAGGAATATTTTTAAAATATATTTTTCTTCCATGTGGGATGAATGCTGGCTTGGAAGGCAATACAGTCCCTAGTGCACTTCAAACACACCAGTATGATGATGTCACCAAGGTCTGTACCTAAGGAGTTCTGAAGTACTGTCATGACATCACAAGGGGGTGGGGTTCAGCGCTCCCCCTTGTGATGTCATCCTATGCTGTGATTGACCAAAGCATTGCACCTGACCACTTGTGATTGGTCAAAGCAATTCACCTGACCACAGATCAAGTGCAATGCTTTGAAACCCACCCCCTTGTGATGTCCTCCCTATGCTGTGATTGGCCAGGTGCATTGCTTTGGCAATCACAATGCACTGTCAAGGCGCAGTGGGGCACAGTGGACAAACAGCCCGCCGAATGCCCGTTTCGTTCATGTGTTCAGCAAACGCACGAATGGCCCATGTTCGAGTCAAACATCCAACACTACAAGCTGTGTACTGGTGATCATATTATCGGACGAAATCACATAGATATATATCCTCCTGCGCTCTTATGGTAAACAATAGAATAAGCTAGAAAGCAGCCACCATCTGTCCCATACCAAGCGAAGGCAATATGAATAAAATATAAAAGTTGATGCAGCGCTAAAAGTTCTTATACCTGAACAAAGTACAAAATCAGAATATGTAGATAGGTGTATAAAGATGACCCAAATCCACATGGGGATAAGTAGGAAACAATGGCCCTCAATAAACAGATAACAGTGGTTAAGTGCAGGATGAAGTGTCCATAGTTCATATATCTAAAGAAGTGCAGGTGAATCACAGCACACTCCAAAAAACGTGATCCCAGGCAGTCTTGCTGCAATGGCGGATGTGGTTTGCAATATGTGGGAAGGACAAAAAGACCCTTATGGGTCCGGTTGAGAGAACATGTCCAGAATATAAAAAAGGGTTTCCCGAAACACTGTCTATCCAATCATTTTCGGCTGTACCATAATCAAGACCCTTCTGGTCTCAAATTTTGGGGAGTTGAAAAATATAAGAAACATTGGAGAGGGTCCCATAAAGTGAGATCTTTAAGTCAGACAGAATCTAAATATATTTTATTTATGGATACATTTGCCCCGATGGGACTCAATATTGAGTTCGACTTGAACTGTTTTATCAGTGACCGATAAAATTTCCTATGTTGACTTATTGTGTGTTATAGTATTTGATGCAAAGAGTTCATGCAGGATTACAAAGGAGCTTTTATTTTTAATTATTAATTAATTTAGTAATTAATTAATATATATATTTTATTTTTTTTTAATTTTATTTAGTTTATACATATATTATTTACATATTTTAGTTCATACAATTTTGTATGATATTTTATATTTACAGGGCAAGCTATATATTATTATATGGACATGCTCGTTTTATCTTATTTATCCATTATTAAAGTATGTGGTTTTCCACATCTATTTTTTATATTTTTTTATATTAGTCTCCCCATGATTAATGTGCTCACTATTGAGAGATATTGGCCGTGTGGTGCCTTTTATTTTAGTTATGTTACCTCACTGGGATCGCTAGACCTAATGGGAGAAGGTCCGTCCATATTGGACCACAGTAATATGGCTGCACAGGTTCTTTGCACATTGGACCATTAGAATATGGACACGATCGCACCGCCCACTGTAGTCTGGATTGGTGCGGTTCCTGGCCTTTATAAGGAAGTACTGCCGGCCAATCACGCTGTACTGATGAAGTCACGAGTTACGTGACAACAATTGCGTGGTGACGTACTTCCGGCGTGACGCCATCTTGGTGCACCTTTTTGATCCTGCTGTACACCCAGCACAGTATTGCCATCTGTATACTAGCTGTTTGCCATGTAAGTGGATTATTTTTTCCCTTTTTGGATATTTGCTGCCCATTTGCAATTAAAGCGGTAATACACTATGAGGACTGTGTTTATCTCCTCATTTATGAGCCTATGAGCTGTTGTGACATCGGAGGAGAGTGTTTTCCGTTTGCCTACTGGTCTGGATGAATACTGTCCTTGTTCATGTGATGCCATCCTATCTAAAGAGTCTCTGAATTGGAGGATTCCGAGGTGATCTACAGTATGCTTTGTGGCCCTGTAGGGTCATAGAGTGGAGGTGAGAGGCCATTGCAGCAAGACTGCCTGGGATCATGTTTTTGGAGTGTGCTGTGATTCACCTGCACTTCTTTAGATATATGAACTATGGACACTTCATCCTGCACTTAACCACTGTTATCTGTTTATTGAGGGCCATTGTTTCCTACTTATCCCCATGTGGATTTGGGTCATCTTTATACACCTATCTACATATTCTGATTTTGTACTTTGTTCAGGTATAAGAACTTTTAGCGCTGCATCAACTTTTATATTTTATTCATATTATCGGACGAAACACTCTGAAAATGGTATTTTCCTTCTGATTTTAAAAGCTTAACTTGTGGAGGTATCCCGAGTGTGTGGATCCCTTCAAGGTTTACTGGTTGTGATGCGTGAGGAAAGTGGTTAAAGTGGCTCTAAAGACTCCAGGTTGTTTACCTTTGTGTATTCTATGCATGAAGATAAAAAACATTATGTGTGTGGCAGCCCCCCCTAACACTGAGCTCCATCCAGATCCATGTCCATGACAGCCTGAGTTCCCTAAGGAACTCTAACTCCTGATTGGCTGGGCCATTGGCTCCTGCTGCTGTCAGTCACAGCCAGTGAGCCAATCAGGCGAGGGAGGGGGAGCAGGGCCGAGCCATGGCTCTGTGTGAATATACACACAGAGCAGCAGCTCGGGACCACACCTGCTTGGGTGCGACCATAGCAAGCTGCTTGCTGTGGGGGCACCCAACAGGAGGGAGGAGCCAGGAGCACCAGCAGGAGACCCAAGAAGAGGAGGATCCGGGCTTCTCTGTGCAAATCCATAACACAGAGCAGGCAAGTATAACATGTTTGTTATTAAAAAAGGAAAACCAACAAGGCTTTAGTATCACTTTCAAGAAAGACTTCCTTTATTGGCTATACTTTATCAATCTAATCCATTGACAAATCAGAGCAGATGCCGTGCACCAGGAACAAGTGCGCACCCCCTGCACAATGAAGTGCAAAATCACATATATATACTGTATATACACTATATTGCCAAAAGTATTGTCCCCGCCCTCCAAATCATGTGATTCGGGTGTTCCAATCCCCTCCATGGCCACAGGTGTATACAATCAAGTCCCTAGGCATGTAAACTGCTTCTACAAACATTTTTGAAATAATAGGTTGCTCTCAGGAGCTCAGTGACTCCAAGCGTGGTCCTGTGATAGGTTGTCACCTGTGCAATAAGTCCATCCGTGACATTTCCTGGCTACTAAATATTCCACGCTCAACTGTTAGTGGTATTCTAACAAAGTGGAAGCAAATGGGAACAACAGCAACTCAGCCACCAAGTGGTAGGCCACGTAAAATGACAGAGCGGGGTCAGTGCATGCTGAAGTGCACAGTGCGCAGAAGTCACCAACTGTCTGCAGAGTCAATAGCTAAAGACCTCCAAACGTGGTGTGGCCTTCAGATTAGCACAACAGTGCGTAAAGAGAGCTTCATGGAATGGTTTTCCACGGCCGAGCAGCTGCATCCAAGCCTTACATCACCAAGTGCAATGTAAAGTGTCGGATGCTGTGGTGTAAAGCACACCGCCACTGGACTCTAGAGCAGTGGAGACATATTCTCTGGAGTGACCAATCACGCTTCTCTGTCTGGCAATCCGATGGATGTGTCTGGGTTTGGCGGTTGCCAGGAGAACAGTATTTGCCTGACTGCACTGTGCCAAGTGTAAAGTTTGGTGGTGGGGGGGATTATGGTGATGTTTTTAAGGGGTTGGGCTTGGCCCCCTAGGTCCAGTGAAGGAAACAACAACATGACTGCCCGCCAGTGCACAAAGCAAGGTCCATAAAGACATGAAGGAGCCAGTTTGGGGTGGAGGAACTTGACTGGCCTGCACAGAGTCCTGACCTCAACCCCATAGAACACCTTTGGGATGAATTAGAGCGAAGACTGCGAGCCAGGCCTTCTCCCCCGACATCAGTGCCTGACCTCACAAAATGTGCTTCTGGAAGAATGGTCCAGCCTTCCCATAGACACCCTCCTAAACCTTGTAGACAACCTTCCCAGAAGAGTTGAAGATGTTATAGCTGCAAAGGGCGGGCCGACTCAATATTGAAAGGCAGGTGGCCCAATACATTTGGCAATATAATGTATGTTCTGGTTTGATAACTTGCTGGCTACAGTGTTCTGTGGTCAAAAATGTACAAATGTCTTATTTAAATCCTGGGAACAAAATGTGTATTCTTATGTATATCTATATATTTGATATAGAACATTTGTACACATCCCCTTCCAAGTGTGTACCCTTCTCCCCTCCATTTTTCTTATGGGATGCCCTTGCTCTTGGGCTCAGGAGCCATTTTTGTACCTATTTTTCCAGCCAATTATATTATTATTATTATTATACAGTATTTATAAAGAGCCAATGGTTCTCTCAGCGCTGTACATTACAAAGGGGGACAGAACATGTGACAGAACAATACAATGCAAAACATGAGGGGATCGAGGGCCCTGCTCTTTCGAGCTTACAATCTAGGAGCCAATGGGGACAAGGCTGTTTTTAGGGGGACGTGAGTGTAGCACCCTCTAGAGTGCTACTAGAATAGTGTAGTGTACTGTAGGCAAAATCATTGTTTATGACTCATGGTAATTGTGTGAGTCTGTTATTGAGGTCGGGTCAGCTGGATGACTCAACAGTTTGTGGCTCTATCGCCTCCTCCTGACTTCCAGAAGTCAGTGAGCAGGAAGCGGTGGAGGTCTAATCTGCATATTCATGTGGGCCCAGCCAATCCCAGGTTTTGAGGCCCTGGTAGAGTGGTGGACTGGCCTATAAATATGGGAGAGAGTCAGGCTGACAGGAGTGCTGAGAAGATTGTTGGTGCCTGGGAGGGAGCACAGCACTGGGTTCAATCCTATATCCTTGTCCTAGGAGAACTTCTAAGAAGCCAGGAGGGTTGGTAGTGCTTGCAGGCTGTGGAGCTGGCAGCAGCTGCCACTGATCCGCAACGACTGATGGCTTTCAGGAAAAGAACAGTCCAGGATCTGCTTTAGTACATAGGAAGGAAGTGCCTCCCCTTACATTGATTCAAGCCAAACTGGGCAACCCATCACCCTATTTCCCATTCCAAGTTGAATTCCCTTAATTAAACAACAAAAGAAAGCCCATGGACTGGTCACTGTCTTTGGATGCAAGTCTGTGCAAAAATATCTGTTGCCTGACTGTGCGGAGGGAAGCTTAAAGTGTAACTAAACCCACAACAGTACAATCTGTATATACAGTAAAGCATGATTGTTATACTCACCATGGAACCTAAGGGGTTAATCCTTCCCATTGTGTAAAAAAGGCTGTTTGATCCTGTCTTCTCTGATCCTCCTCTTGTTGAAATGACCACCTGATACAGACTGAAACCGTAGTCACGTGCACATGCTCAGTTTGGGTGTGTATTCCTAGAGAGGTTTTTTTCCTTGGGAGAGTACATGTGATTAGCACAGGGCCAATCAGCACTGTCCAGACAGAGGGTCAAGGGTTTCACATCAGAAAGAAAATTCCTCCTACAAGCTTTAACCAGTGTCCTGCTGAAGTCACAAGACTGCTCTATACTGCTGATGAGAAAAGGGATTTATCAGTTTACATTTACTAAACTAATAGCATTTCCATGTTCTGTGTACTGTGGGAGACCAGATATAGTGAATGCAGGGTCCAGGGAGAGCGGATATAGTGAATGCGGGTTCTGGGCAGACCAGAGATAGTGAATGCAGGGTCCAGGGAGAGCAGATATAGAGAATGCAGGGTCCGTGGAGAGCAGATATAGTGAATGGGGGGTCTGGGGAGAGCGGATATAGAGAATGCAGGGTCTGGGGAGAGTGGGATATAGTGAATGCAGAGTCCGGGGAGAGCAGATATAGAGAATGGGGGGTCCGGTAGAGCGAATATAGTGAATGCAGGGTCCTGGGAGAGCAGATATAGTGAATGCAGGGTCCGGGGAGACCGGATATAGTGAATGCAGGGTCTGGGAAGAGCAAATATAGTGAATGCAGGGTCCAGGGAGACCAGATATAGTGAATGCAGGGTCCGGGGAGACCGGATATAGTGAATGCAGGGTCCAGGGAGACCAGTTATAGTGAATGCAGGGTCCGGGGAGAGCAGATATAGTGAATGCAGGGTCCAGGGAGAGCGGATATAGTGAATGGGGGGTCCAGGCAGAGCAGATATAGTAAATGCAGGGTCCGGGGAGACCGGATATAGTGAATGCAGGGTCTGGGAAGAGCAAATATAGTGAATGCAGGGTCCAGGGAGACCAGATATAGTGAATGCAGGGTCCGGGGAGACCGGATATAGTGAATGCAGGGTCCGGGGAGACCGGATATAGTGAATGCAGGGTCCAGGGAGAGCGGATATAGTGAAGGGGGGGTCCAGGCAGAGCAGATATAGTAAATGCAGGGTCCAGGGAGAGCATATATAGTGAATGCAGGGTCCAGGGAGAGTGGATATAGTGAATGGGGGGTCCAGGGAGAGCGGATATAGTGAATGGGGGGTCCAGGCAGAGCAGATATAGTAAATGCAGGGTCCAGGGAGAGCATATATAGTGAATGCAGGGTCCGGGGAGAGCAAATATAGTGAATGCAGGGTCCAGGGAGAGCGGATAAAGTCATTGCAGGGTTCGGGGAGACCGGATATAGTGTATGCAGAGTCCGGGGAGAGCGGATATAGTGAATGCAGGGTCCGGGGAGAGCGGATATACTGAATGCAGGGTCTGGGGAGAGATGATATAGTGACTGTAGGGTCCGGAGAGACCAGCTATAGTGAATGCAGGGTTCGGGGAGAGCGGATATAGTGAATGCAGGGTCTGGGGGACCATATATACCATATCACTAGAGGGGGTCACCGGCAGGAGGAACGAGGTCCCGATTCCTCCATATAGATCTTTATGTCACTAGAGGGGTCACTGGCAGGAGGAAGGAGGTCCTGATTCGTCCGTATAGATCTTTATGTCATTAGAGGGGTCATCGGCAGGAGGAAGGAGGTCCCGATTCCTCTATATAAATCTTTATATCACTAGAGGGGTCACCAGCGGGAGGAAGGAGGTCCTGATTTCTCTATATAGATCTTTATATCACTAGAGAGATCACCAGCGGGAGGAAGGAGGTCCTTATTCTTCTATATAGATCTTTAGTTAGACCTCATTTAGAATACTGTGTCCAGTTCTGGAGATCTCACTTACGAAAATATATTGATAAGGTAGAACAAGTCCAGAGTCGGGAACAAAAATGGTGAAAGGTCTGGGGGATGAAACATATCAGGAGAGACTTCAGGAACTTAACATGTACAGTCTGGAGGAAAGAAGGGAAAGGGGAGACATGAGTGAAACCTCTAAATACATCAAGGTGGTGAATCAGGATCAGGAGGGCAGGATTGTCAACATGAAACCAAAATCAAGAACACGGGGACATGACCTTGAACTAACTGGAGGAAAGTTCAAAACTAATCTCAGAAAGTACTATTTTACTGAAAGAGTAGTTGGTGAGGTAGTGAGCCAGTCAACAGTAAACAGCTTCAAATATGTGGGACAAGCATAGATTGATCGATCGATCGATCTATCTTTACAGTCGTATCCGACCCTTGGCGATTGCATGGACCGTCACTCATAAGCGACTTTTTCCACTTCATGTGAAGTTTTTTATTACAAAATTACAGATTTATTTACCATGTAAAATATACATGTAAATGCATTCCACAAATGTAGATTAAATGTATTTTTAAAGACATACAGTATATATATATATATATATATATATATATATATATATATATTTGACACATATATTTGAAATACTACAATTTTGGCCATATGCAATGTATTTAAAAATATATTTCAATAAATATATATATATATATATATATATATATATATATATATACTGTACATACTGTTTGTTTGAAATGCGTTTTTATTACAAAATAACAAAATATATAAAAAATGTTTTTAAATATACATTTTCAAATATACTGTATGTCTTTAAAAATACATTTAATCTACATTTTTGGAATGCATTTACAAACATATGTAAAAATATATGTTAAAATTACTTTTTTATATGTTAAAAAAAAATCAGAAGAATATATTTTAGGCCATATTCAATATGTTTCTATATATATATAAATATATATATATACATACTGCATGTTGAAATGCATTTTTATTTACAAATATATGAAAAATATTTTTACAAATATACTTTTTGAAAATATATTCTTCAGATTTTTTTACCATATAAATGCATTCCAAAAATGTAGATTAAATGTATTTTTAAAGACATACAGTATATTTGAAAATGTATTTTTAAAAATAGTTTTCATATATTTTGTAAAAGAAAATGCATTTCAACATACAATATATATATATATTTATATATATATATATATATATATATATTTATTTATAAATATATTGAATATGGCCAAAATTGTAGTATTTCAAATATATATTAATATATTTGGGAAGAATATTTTTAAAATATATTTCAAATATATTTTTCTTCCATGTGAGTCCTTTTGTCCTATTTGGAGGATCTCCCAGGATCAGTGGAGCCGATGTATCCAACTGAAAGTTAACAAGTGATTACATTCCTCGGAAAGTGTGCTAAGGACTATAGCTCCTTCAACTAAAGGAGGTACGTAGGTATGTTGAAATGCATTTTTTTTATATAACACCAAATATAAGAAAAATATTTTTAAAAATATACTTTTTTTTCTTCAGATTTTTTTTAACATATAAAAAAGTCATTTTTTTAACATATATTTTACATATATTTGTAAATAAATTCCAAAAAATGTAAATGTGTATTTTTAAAGACATACAGTATATTTGAAAATGTATTTTTAAAAATATTTTTCATATATTTTGTAAAAGAAAAACGCATTTCAACATAAAGTACTGTATATATATTTATTTTATTTTTTAAATATATTGAATATAGCCAAAATTGTAGTATTTCAAATACAGTTGCAAGAAAAAGTATGTGAACCCTTGGGATTACGTGGAGTTTTGCATGAATTGGGCATAAAATGTGCTCTGAACGTCATCTAAGTCACAACAATAGAAGAACACAGTCTGCTGAACATAATACTACACAAACATTAGATGTTGCCATGGTTTATTGCACATAAATGTAAACATTCACAGTGCAGGGAGGAAAAAGTATGTGAGGCCCTACTTAATGATTTCTCCCAGAGCTAATTGGAGCCAGGATGAGCCAACCTTGACTCCAATCAGTGTGATGATATTGGATGTGTTTGCTGACAGCTGTCCTGCCCTTAAAAAACACACACCTGTTTTGGGTTTACTGGTTTCAAGAAGCACTGTCTGATGTGAACCATGCCTCGCAGAAAAGAGCTCTCAGAAGACCTACGATCAAGAATTGTTGACTTGCATGAAGCTGGAAAGGGTTACAAAAGTATCTCCAAAAGCCTGATGTTCATGTGTCCACGGTTAAGACAGACTGTCTACAAATGGAGAAAGTTTAGCACTGTTGCTACTCTCCCTAGGCTTGGTCGTCCTGTAAAAATGACTGCAAGAGCACAGCGCAGAATGCTTCAGGAGGTAAAGAAGAATCCAGAGTGTCAGCTAAAGACCTACAGAAATCTCTGGCACATGCTAACATTTTTGTTGACACATCTACAATAAGGAAAACATTAAACAAGAATGGAGTACATGGGAGGACACCACGGAGGAAGCATTGCTGTCCAAAAAGAAGTGCAGCACGTTTGAAGTTTGCAAAAGAGCACCTGGATGTTCCACAGCACTACTGGCAAAATATACTGTGGGCAGATGAAAACCAAGATTGAGTTTTTTGGGAGAAGAACACACAACACTATATGTGTGGAGAAAAAAAAGGCACAGCACACCAACATCAAAAAAACTCATCCCCACTGTAAAACATGGCGGAGGGAGCATCATGGTTTGGGGCTGCTTTGCTGCCTCAGGGCCTGGATTGTTGTCATTGATGGGAAAACGAATTCCAGAGTTTATCAAGACATTTTGCAGGAAAACGTACGACCATTTTGTCCGCCAACTGAAGCTCGCAGAGGACTATGGGTTTGCAGGACAATGACCCAAAGCATACAAGTCATTCAACAAAACAATGGCTGCAACAGCACAGAATACGCCTTCTTGAGTGGCCCAGTCAGAGTCCTGACCTCAACCCGATTGAAATGCTGTGGCATGACCTTAAGAGAGCGATTCACACCAGACATCCCAAGAATATTGCTACACTGAAACAGTTTTGTGAAGAGGAGTGGTCCAAAAATGACTCCAGATCGTTGTGCAGGTCTGATCTGCAACTACAGGAAACGTTTGGTTGAGGTTATTGCTGCCAAAGGAGGGTCAACCAGTTATTAAGTCCAAAGGTTCACATACTTTTTCCTCCCTGCACTGTGAAGTTTACATGTTTGTGCAATTTCAACCATGGCAACATCTAATGTTTGTGTAGTATTGTGTTCAGCAGACTGCTTTCTTCTATTGTTGTGACTTAGATGACGTTCAGAGCACATTTTATGCCCAATTCATGCAAAACTCCACGTAATCCCAAGGGGTTCACATACTTTTTCTTTGCAACTGTATATGTTAATATATTTGGGAAGAATATTTTTAAAATATATATTTCAAATATATTTTTCTTCCATGTGAGTCCTTTTGTCCTATTTAGAGGATCTCCCAGGATCAGTGGGGCCGATGTATGTGCTAAGGACTATAGCTCCCCCAACTAAAGGAGGTACGTAGGTATGTTGAAATGCACTTTTTTTATCTATAACACAAAATATATGAAAAATATTTTTAAAACTATACTTATTTTTTTTTTCTTCAGATTTTTTTAACATATAAAAAAGTAATTTTAACATATATTTTTACATATATTTGTAAATTAATTCCAAAATGTAAATTTGTATTTTTAAAGACATACAATATATTTGAAAATGTATTTTTAAAAATATTTTTCATATATTTTGTAAAAGAAAACGCATTTCAACATATAGTAATGTAACTAAAGGAGGTATGTTGTAAAAATAGTAAAAAAAAAAAGAAAAAAAAGAAGACAACACGATGTATGAATATTGATTATTATTTATCAGACATCTGTTGTGCATTTAGATAAATGATATTCCACATCAGATGATTTACAAGTCACATTTCAACCTGTCTTTCTAATGATCAGCGTCCACAATACACCCTGCCATGTCTGATCCCGCATCTTTTTACGTCCTTAACTTTAGTATCCCCTTCATTTTCTTCGTTTTCTTCTTCTTTGGTGTCTCTCCTGAGAGGAAACGGTCATTGTTACATACAACCACATTGGTTTAAAGGGAAAAACTGGATTTTACGGGTTGAGGTAAAAGGCCAATCACAGTGCACTTTTACCACGTGATCAGCTGTATCCAATACAGTTGCTGGTTATCGGCTGCACTTTCCTCACGCTGTCACAGCGAGTGAGGGGGCAGGGCTGAAGGGACCTGTGTGGTAGGGAAGAGTGGTGGGGGTATGGCAGGGTATGTGCAGGGGGGGGAAGCTGGGGGAGAAATGTCAGACGTGGCAGAAGGTGTCGGGGGCATATTGTCGTCCACTAATCAGAGCTGGTAGTTTGTCCAGCAGAGTCTTCTGAACAGTTGTGCCATCAGGTCAGTGACCACGAGCCTTTAGCAGATGGCGGAACGCAGGTCTGTACAGTGTACGGACCCGGCCAGCTGGAAGCAGTGCTGTAGGTCTGTATGTTGTACAGATTTGGCAGCAAAATGGTTAAAAGGCTATACTTTTACAGGCTCACCTCGGTTTACGAATTGAATGCGCTCTGCGGGACTTTTTGTATCGTGAAAAATTTGTAAACCGAAAACGCCGTTTCCCATAGGAATGCATTGAAAACCAATTAATCCATTCCGGAGGTCAGAAAAAGGAAAAAAAAAGTCTTCTATCTGTTCAAAACTCTTTATAAAGTGCACTTTAAAGGCATAAATACTGTACAGGGACACGATTAAAAA